ATCATAAGACACCGGACATGAGTGCTGATGAAGCATGACAACAAACATCAACAAACTAGCTGCTGAATCCATTGCTCTTAGTCCTTGTGGCTCGATGATTACATCGAATGCCATGTCTGAAGTGATGCTTGCAGTGAAAATGTAGGTGCGCAAAGTAGACTACTTAAAGTAAGTCCTCCCAAAGTAGATTCAGAGACCTGTGTTGATTCTGATGGCTCCAGTGATGGTGACCTGCACCAAGTCACCCATCTGTCCCACCTTGCGAGCTCCGCAGTCTCCGCAGGGTTGGGCTTCTTGGGGTCGACCGGTGGCTTCTCCTCACGCCAATGGGGTGGACCGGTGTGGATTGAGAGTCAGTTTAAGCGGTTCCAACCCTTTAGGTGCAAATCCGACCCGATCATCACGCTACCAACCGACCGGAAACATCCTTCTAGCCAGGGCCCTCACCGACATCAGTTGCAGGGCCCTCATCAACGTTGAGTTGCAACCCCCAACAAACCTTCACTTCACGAACGATCACCGCCTCTCATACGAACTTGATCATCCATCGAGCTGGTTTGTTCACCTGTTTGCACTACTGCTGGTGACAAAATCGGGTGATTGTGTGTGTGTGTGTGCATCGTTGTCACCAAGCTGAAGCTCCTCCAGCTTGAAGTGGAAGTAAACCTCGGTGAAGCTCAGGAGCTCATGGGAGTTACTGTGAGTTACTGTACTTTCACTAAAATTGTAGAACAAGTTAGGGGTGGGGTACGCCGCTAGTAGGGAGAAGTAGCTAGTAGGAGCTAGGTGGCTACTAGTAGTTGGACGCAGCTATTCATTTGGTTCCTAGATTTTAGGGAAACCTAACTACAAAGGAAACATCAAGCAGTGAGAAGATTTAGGAGGGAACGTAGGGCTGCTCCACACCGATTGACTAGAACCGTGCATGTGGTCAGTCTCCGTTGTGCGTGGAAATCCGATGACTCCACGACCTGTCAGGTTTCAGGTCCCAGCTCCACCAGTGGTGCTCAACATCTTCTGGAAGTCCTGGATGAAGGACTTGCCTCGATACCTGGGGAGCCATGTCGACCGCAACACCACGTCGCAGAGTTCTTGTGTTGGCCGAAGAGTTCTTTGTCGCAGCAAAACTAGCAGAGTCATGCAGCTTCCTCAAACTGAACGGCGATCAAACATTAAGCACTTGCAGCACTTATATGGCGGAGCAAAGGACTAACACATGCTAATAACACATTGCAGTGTGACCATCTAAATTGTGCCCGAACAAATCGATAATATGAACTTGTGGAAAAGTCATAGAACCTGAGCTGATGTTCCTTTCATAGGTTGGCAGGGGTTCAAAACAGCCCCATTACTCACATCAGGGCTGTTTGGTTGATAGTTTCCAAGCTCTGGGTACCTGCAATCAACGACCTTCCAAAAAGGCAGTTGCCGTGCTTCAACAACATGAAGGAACCAAGGGCGACACCGGACCAGGCGTGGCGCCACCAAGCGAACCGAGGGCTGAAAGCGAATCTGCTCGTTAAGCCACTCCTCCTCAGTGCGGTTGGTGCAAAGGCAGTGAATAGTGCACGTCAGTGTCCTGCCGCTACTGTTGGGATGTGAATGCTGGCATGTGACTTGCATTTCTGCACTGGGCGTACCCAGAATTTGAATCTTATTACTACATAGCCATCAACCTTGCAACTATCTCTAAGCTGTTTGCAAAAGCTTCATGTGGGATCATGCTCAAAGGCAAACATGCTTGAATTACCTAACAATGTTGCGTGTCATCAAACAACGAGCGAGAAATATACTTCAGCAAAACCACAAAACGGACCGTAACTTTATCTCCTTCCCGCAAGAACAAATGACTTCAAAAGGTGTTGACCAACAAGACCAACAACCTCTATGGATCCTTGCTTGCTTCCTCAACCACCCAGCGCTCCTCACCACAAAAGGTATTGAAATTAATTGCCCCTTATCACCCCATGGATTTTCTTGAATCTTGGAGTCTCTTGGATGCCCTTTTTACACAAAACAATTTCTTGTTCCAGCCATGCAGCGGCTCTGACTTCACCGCACCGCACTGTCCGACTTCACCGCTCCTCCCTCACCTCAGCCTCGCCTTCGGTGTCGCCCTTGACCTGTTGAGAGAGGAAAAGAACCGGGGTGCATAAAACGTGCCAAGGGATGCATAACTTTCAATTGGGATAATTAACGGGTTAGAGCTATCTTTAAATTACTTTAACTCTCTAGTGGTCGTTCAAACAGAAGCCCCCCGACACCTTGAAAGGGCTTGACGAACCGGAGGTCTACAAACAGTTATATAACAGTAAGAGCCAATTGTGAAGTTGATGGTACGAGTGGTGGATGATACCCAACGGACATGGTGATTGTCTCTTTAAGCAAATGAGTTTGTGAGCACTGGAACACTTGGAACATGCAGTCTCTGAAGACAAATGCGGTGAAGAATGCTTCTCGGCTGAACGGAACCAGAGCACTTTATCTTCAGCTATGAAGTTTGGACTTCTTTTGGACAAATTGCCCCAAACATAACAATATATGAATGTACGACAAAGAACGTAACAAAAACTGCGAAAACAAGTCCCAAAATAGCCTATTCAAAGCCAGCTGTTCTGCTTCGAGGGGTGTATATAGTGCTGTCCACGTGTCCATCTCACAAGTTTTCTCCCAAAAGACTTCCTTTACTCAGCGGAGCATGAGTATGCATCAGATTGCATAAGTGCATCAATGCCGATAAAGCGATAAAAATCCATAAAACACGGTTCCGCTTGTGCAGGGTGGGGTCTTGGTCACCACCACCTTCACAACAAGCAGGACCCTGTTGCCCCCCCAGTCCTCACTGGGGAGCCCTTAAAACTTAAAGGTGCTGGTACTGTTGACAAAAACCTTTGGAAAGAATGAACGTCCCGCTACTTTGGGATGAGACCTTGTGACTTTCAATTTCGGAGGTGTTTTGTATCTCTGTCGAACCGAGGCCAAACAAGGTCCTGCCTTTGAATTTGAGACTACGAGCAGAAGAGATTGCCAATCTGCGCATCTCAATCTTCCTTGGCATCTCAAAATAAGTATCAGTGGAGCTGAAGAACCCGGGCAACCCCGGGTGGCTCGTCACTGCCCAGGTGAGGGGAGAAAACGGCAACGCAACTAACTAGCAATGCATACTGCAGCCCAAGTGGAGGTTTGGTGCAAGTAATCCATGCACATCCTGCGTGGTCTCCTGTCGCCCAGGATAAAAGCTGAGACTTCATGGCCGGCAGGCGCATGACGCACGGTTGCGCTGCAGGCTCACCAAACAAGGCACCAAATAATTAGTCATCCGCTGTCCCAACTCCAAACAACAAAAGTGCAAATCCCGAATAGCCCCTCCATTCTGAGGGGTGTTCTCAGCGTTTCAAGGGTCTCCCTGGCACTTGCCACGTGAACAGGTAGTGGCGCTGTTGTGTGGAACACCTGATTCTTGATGGGGATAGCTAGACTAGAACAAAGTGGAACCTGTGCACTGTGCACCCTACCGACCCTACCTCTCTGGTGCTGCTTCCGTGTCCGCGAGACATGCTTCACAAATCTTCACAACTTGCTCTAGGGTGGCCTGTTCGTTGACTTATTGTTGTCAAACATTTTATACTCGGTCCAATTACAGGCCTTGGAAATGAAAGAGTCCGATCCTGAGTGTTGAAGACGCACTGCAGCTGCATTATCATGCCTCATGTTCCACTCATTGCCGCCCATTGTGTTTGGTCAACTATAACGAAAAGTGACTGGCTGGCCAACATCCGAGCTACTTGCCGCGGTTTTGAAACAGTATGACGTATGACAGGCACACCTTGTGCCTTGGTGTAGTGTCGTCTCTCTCTCTCTCTCTCTTTCTCCTTGCTTTTTTCTGGAAAAGTGACAAGAATCATGGTGGTATCAGCGACTGTGTCACTAAGTTAGGGTCCTTGTAGCTCTTGCATGCAAAATGAGACCTCTGTCAATTATTTTTTAAAATATCTTGGCATGCTTCAGCATCTCAGAAAACTAAGCCGTTCTGAACGACGGGATGACATGGGTTCGCCCGCAAGTAAGTCGCAATTCGTTGGACAAAAAGTGGTTTTGTATCGGGGATGCAAGGACAGGGTCTAATGAGATTCCCTCCTATGGCATAAGTTCTTACTTGAACCCTTTGGGAAGCGGCGGCAAGCAGCCAAGGCAAAGGATGCCTTGGATTATGCAGGCGAATCAGCTTCGGTCTAACACCTCTGAAGCCCTGATTATGATTCCTGCCAACCAGTCGATTTCTGTGGAGTTTATTGCAGTTTATCAATGGCCTTCGAGACCGTCAGGGAACTGCTGGTGCACAACCCGTTTCATCCTTTTTCTGTCTGAAGCCCACTGGCGATTCTCTTGCTTTCCAGACTAATTTACACAATTCTTTGCTTTGCATGAGGACACACGCCCCATATCTGTGGATCACTGTGTTTTCTCAACCCACAAATCGCTCTTGGGGATTCCGATGGATTCTGAAGTCTGATCTAACAAAGGGCATCGCTACTAAGGAGCAAAGACGCTAATAGTGGTCGCTCCTGGCATCGCTACTAGTAACAAGGGCATCGCTACTGGAGCAAGAAGCTACAGGGGATTCTACGGGATTCTGGCATGGCCAGGCCCTACTACTAGTAACAAGAAGCTACTAGGAACAAAGGGCATTTCTACTAGGAGCATACAATCGGCTTTGACAAGTTGCCCACATCGGCTCGCTGCCCCGTGGAAGCGCCGTTGAAACACAGGTTCTTGAGGAGGGCTGGTGACAGGATTCAGAGCTCACAAGGCGACCTGTTCCTAGCAAACAGGTCAATGCATTACTTGCACAAGGTGCAGCGGAGTTGCCCTTGGGGCTTCCCTGATGGCTAAACTGTCCCATCTCACCTTGCTGAGTTCAACCCCTATCTGGGGCGAGCAAAGGAGTTGGAGTTTCAAACCATGATTTTCAGAACGGCCAACGATGGCGATTATTCCCGTCAGTGGCGCTCATCTCCCAGAACCTGGTCAAAGTCCTGGCAATTTCAGAAATGGATTTCCATGGACGTGTGAGCAACATTCTTGTATGTAGGGTTCAAGTTTTTGTTCATAGTAGGAGGGTTGCAAGTATTGGATGCTCGTGCGATCCCTCAAACGCATGGTTTCCAAGGGGAAAGTTGAAGTTGACTGCATGCACCAAGCTCCAGAACCCTGCAGAGCCCTGCACATCCTGGTGACAATCGACCACGGCTGGAAGCCATTCTCGAAGAACCTGACGCTCCACTGAGATAGCCGCTGGCCCTTCACCAACCCCTTCTTACACATTCCTCACATCTTAGGTGGACCCTGACTCAGACACTTCCACCATAGGACAGTCGGCCACTTCACGTCTGGAAATGTTCCCTTGTAAGTGTGCGTTCGAGCATCTCCAAGCCTGCAGTGCAAGAATATCTTCTTACAAAGACACACACTTGAGACTTCGCGCACGGAACTGAAAGCCACTTGCCACACGCCCACCTAGGTGTGACCGCCTAAGGGTGCCAGGACAGAAGGAAATAGGAAAACCCTCCAAAGCTCCAACGATCACGACATCGACGACAGGTTGACGGCGTGCGTACACATCTGCCGACCTGAAAGCAACCTAACCAGCCTGGTCAGCTAGAGGAGAAAGTGATTACCGAACATCACACTTGCGAACTTGCAGGTACACAGATTGGCGTCCCAATCTGCTTCACGGAGTATCCACAGCTGTCTTCGTTGGCAGCAGAACTGTGGACTCCCTGCTGCCCCCTGCTGAAAAAGTTCAAAAGAAAGAGACAAATCCGTCAGGATCCCTGTGACTCCAAGGGTTACACAGACACACACCGAACATGTAGAAATGGCACCGAAGGGCTGCGAAGCAGCTCTTTGTTCAAGTGATCCATTTTCAGTCGGCAACTCGTCCCCAGCCAAGCAGCCAAACCCTCAAAAACACACACAAGGCAATGGGGGACCTGTATGTCTTTCCAATTAGGGAAATATGGCATGTGTGTATGTATATATATATATGTAGTGTAGAAGCAGTCCCTTACCTTGCTTTGCTGATTATGGAGGTTTCCCAACAAGTGCGATTGTTATATGTGTCATAACGCACGTATAGAGCATCACTTGAGCTCGGTAAGTGGAAGCCTGCCTTTCTTACGTGCTTCCAATAGGAAGACATGTGGAGGGTAGTGAAACGACGCCAGGCTTTGAATCAAATGTTGTTGGCTTACAACATTTTGTGCAGCTCTTTTGTACTGCTCTTCCATTCAGCATTTCCTGGCCTGGAGTTCCACCTTCAGCTCAGCCGCCATGGGGTCTTCGAGCATTTGAATGGTCTTCACCTGATCAAAATTGCAACGTGGAGCCCCGACGTGATTCCACGTGGTGTGCTGCTCTCTGCTTTGTAAATCAGGAGGCCCACGAGCTTCAACCCTTCAACCCTCTGCGTTCTTGAGACCCCACTTGCAGGCCCCAGCCTGCAAAGTGATATCGCAGCACCTGAGCGCAAGCCACAGAGTCTTGATGAAGGGGCTTTCCTAGGAAGAATTTCAAAAAGTTGGTATTGCGTAGGCCCCTTGAAATATTCCTCTGAGCAGTTTTTCCTCTATCTGATTCCATCTCGCATTGCAAAGGTCACCCCCCCCCCCCCAGACTGTAAAAAGGCCAGGCCATTGAGATGAAGGCAATGATGCCACGTTCCGAACTCATTCTGAAGGTGCAAAAAATGTGCAACAGTGTTTAGTCAAGGGAAATGTGGACGAGGCTTTGTCTGTGAGTTTATTGGTTGTTTGTTTAGTAGCCAGAAGATGCCAGAAGATACGATCCTGGAGGTTTGATTGAAAGAGATGTTTTATGCTACTTCAATGGAAAGGTGGGGTCAGGCAGGGAGAAATCAAGCCCCTACGATGGATGCTCTTTGGATGGAACATTTCCAGTTGCCCGTTTGGTTTGTTGAGTCTATCTCTTACTTTACCATGTACATCACACATGTGCCGACCTTCGCAGCATCACAGTGCAAAGGTCTAAAATCATTACTACTCGGGTGTTCAAGCCAGTCGTTTGATGGTGCATGTCTCTCCGTGCAAAACTCGTGAAAATTGTCCGTGTTCAGTTCTGCTTTGTTGTGCGAGAAGGAAGGGTGCTGCTTTTTGCTCCTTTCTTCGGTTGGTGGCCACGAGGTGTCTAGGTAGCAGTGTGAGGGCGTGACATGATGATGAGATCGCCCTGCACGGCCGTGCAATCTGGTTTGCTCTGAAGTATGTTCCGCCCAAATGGTTCAACGTTTATTTGGTCGCTATGTTCAAGGCATTGCAAAGTAGTATGTCACCCATAAACACCGCCGCCAGGTGCCCAAGTCTTGCAGAAGCCTAGCAATTTCAGCGCATCATGAGAAGGCACTAATGCATAGATATGTATATATATATATATATTTATATGTGTATATATGTGTATCGTTATCCATACGTGTATATATATATATATACGTATGTGTATACCGTGTATATATGTAATCACACAGTAGCTTGTGCAAGAGTCTGTAAACTGTAAACCCACTTGGAGATCTCGATGTTTGCAAATGCTGTGGATTGAGTGATCTTTAGACATGGCCATGGTGGTGCCCAAGGCCAGCAAGACCCCGACTGCTCCGTTAAGCTTTCATGGCACCATGCAATGTCCTGGCCGGTTGATGCCAGCTGCATCAAGCATGTATCACGATGGACGGCATCAGGATCATCCCCCATCAAAGCTACAAGTGGGTTCAGTTGGAGCTAGGCTCAGTCTCCTCGATCCAACACATGTCATCCGTCACTCTGGCACTCATGGGATTGATATCTTTAGTTGATGGTTTAAAGGCAAAGCAAGGCTATTACTCCATGCCAAAGAGATGCTTCTGGTCACAAGGTTTCCCTGAAATCAATGGTCCCCAGTTTCGTGGCATCTGTGCTGCGAACCTGCCGTTGTACACCGGGAGATTGAGCTGCACAAACGTGACCAAACACACACAAACCGTGCCAAATGCTCCGCATGCTTCCGATTGCACAAAAAGGAAGCTGGGTCCAGTCTATTCGAAGGCTAAGAAAGTACTCATGACCTCTGCTGTCCCTAGCATTGCACCACTGGGTTGATTGTTTGGCCCTCCATTACGCAAAAACACGCCCTAGGGCGTAGGGGCTAGGGCCAGGGCCTAGGGCCTACTTTTTTCCTTCTTACTTGAACCCAATCCTGTGATAGGTAATGTGCATCCATTGGTACTACAGCAACGAAGTTGATAAGCACGCACGACTTCCAATGTTGCCTTACAAAACTTGCGTTAGGTTGACAAAAGGCAGGACCATCTTTGCTCGGATGGACGTCTGATTGAGAAAGTTGAGCAATCTCTCTTAAGCCAGCAATCAACAGTGCAAATGCTAAAGTTCTCCAACCACGTCAACCTCATTGTGTCTCCTCCCAAGCAAAGAAATTAAAGTTAAAACAAGAAAAACACGAAAGGCCGTGGCCGCCTGCAAAGCATTTCTCTCCGCCAAGCCGTCGCCAATACTGATGGCATGGCAACCTGGGACCCAGCTAAAGCCATGTGTTCCACAAGACTGAAGTTGGAGGTTCTGAGAAACAGCTGGGACCAGCTGGGAGCACCTACAACCAGTCAACATGATGTGTTCCTTCTCTATTTCGCTCGTGTGTGGAGGCTGAAAAACAAGGCTACGGTGTAGTCTTTGTTGACAGTGTGTCAAAATATTTTTTGCAGTTTCATCTTTGGAGTGCAAGAAGTTGTGTTCTTGAAATAGTGTATTTTACAAGACTCCAGGTCTTTATTTCATCTGGTTCTGTCATCAATTTCTGGCTTCGGGTTGGACGTTTTTCGTAGCAGTTTTTTGCTCTGTGTTGCTTTCTTTTTTGTTAAAAGTCGCGTCTGACATACATGCAAAGCAAACTGGGCGGCTCCCATATCAAGCAAACGGTTTGTTCTCAGTCGCATCCCCGATCTCAGTGGGTGCGAAAGATCCACCCCCCGCCACCCCCGTCCCTTCAACGGTCAAACCACATGCATACCTGCTGTCATCCAAGCCGAAAAACACACACTTCCTCTGGGGTCACAAACAACGCCGTTGGCAAAAACAAGATCTTCAAACACCGGTATTCCAACAAAAGCCTGCAAAGCAATGACTATGGCACAGGGTAGAAACGAAAGAGTTTTCCTTCATCTTGATGAGCCTTGGCGTACTCGTGTGTTTGAATTTGAATAAAGCACTGTGAAGCTTCAAGCAAGCAATTCCAGGTCAAGGCGTTTGAACAGCCTGTCTACAAGACTCGAGGCGAAAGGTACAGTCGCAAGATGTCGGTTCGTTCGCTTCGGCCTTTGAATGTTCGTTGCAAGACTCTGACGTGCCTGCTCGCCTCGAATCAGGGACCCCTTCAGCCCGCGTCTACCATAGACGCTTTTAGGCTACTTGTTTGCGCGTGCTGCCATAGGGCATCGCATTCGAAGGCAGAGACCTTCGACCGCATCCATTCGTGAGGATTGGAGAAAAGCAGAGCTACCGAGGAGAAGAACTACTTTGACCTGGTTTCCGCTTCGTTGCATTTTTGTTGGTCGCTTTCGCTTTGCTGCCAATTCTCGATACGAGATTGGTAGCGGAGCGTGAATTCGCTCCGGGACCTGACGTCGCTTGCTCTTCGTGATTGAGCCCCTCGATTACCTGATCGGGAGCGGCGGACCTACGCCCTATACTATCCTTTGCCCGACTCACTGCGCGTGTCTTGACGAACAACCTCATGGAGGCGGCAAAGGATGAGAAACTGTTTCGATGCTCTTGGAATGGTGATGTCTCGACATTCCAGGACTATGTGCGGCGAGTCCGACTTGCTTTCAGCCGCACGAAGAAGAAGCATCGAAAACATCTCGCAGCAGACTTGGTGTCCCAGCTGACGGGACGTGCATGGACGATCACCCAAGAGATCAGTCATGAAAGGTTGGTCAAAGAAGATGGCGCAAAGTACCTCGTCCAGTTCTTGGAATCCCATCTTGCCCGAGTTCCTGTGCCTGACGCTGGAGCTAAAGCAGAAGAGTTGTTAGTGAAGCTCCGTCGACCTTTCGGCATGAGCATGAGTACTTGGTGCGCCACCGTTCGTCAACACTACCGGCAACTCCAACGTGCCTTGAAGAGAGCTGCACCTCTCAATCCTTCCGGAGAGAAGGACACTACTCCTAAGAGGTCTCCCTCGGTGCCATCAACATCGTCTCCTCCGTCCCCGGCCCGATCAAGTCGAAGGACATCTAAGAGAACAGTGCCAGAACCTGAGGCACCCGATGAGGAAGAGGACGATGAAGACGATATGGACTTCGAGTATCCTGACTCGCCTGATGGTGATGACCCAGGAGAAGAGAGTGATGCTCGTCGCCAATGGCACGGTCGAGGGCGCAAGGCAAAGTCCCAAAAGTCTGATTCATCTGATGATGATGATATGCAGTGGGGAGTTCGACTTTGGGATGATATGGATTCAAGCCTTCCGGAAGTCCTTCCACCTGAACTTCTTGGGTGGTTGATGCTTCGTCGAAGTAGCCTGAGCGCCCAACAACGCTTGAACATCCTGGCATCAGTTGGCAACAGCTTGAAGGCCGACGACATCGAAAGAGGTCTTCGTGGCGCTGAGGAAGAACTTCGACTTCATGAACGAGACCCCGAAGGCCGAGGAAAAGGAAAAGGGAGTGCCCATCGACAGAAACCGAGAGCCAACTTCTGGGTTGAACAAGATGGTGAATGGGGCCTCTTGATCGATGACCAGGAGGCAAACGAATGGCTTGAAGATGGTGCAGTGCATTGGGTTGGCCATGACCTTTCGACCGTCTATGCCTCGATGGATGAAGGGACGACTCGAACTCCAGAAGTCCAGAGTCGACCTGACAGTAATGGTTTTTGGCATCAAGATGAAGACGGAGGCTACACCTTCTGGAACAAAGCCACTGATGGTGAATACTACTCTCAGGATCAAGCCGGCACCTTGTGGGCTTGGTCCGACTTTGAAGATGATCAAGTGTGGTGGTCAGCCACGCCTGAACAGCAGAAGGAGATCTCCGAGGCCTACGCCAACTATGAAGGAAAAGTGAGGTCCTTTGCCGAATCCCGTGCCCTTCTACGTCATAAGAACTTGAGCAGAGGTTTCTACCCGAAGAAGGGCAAAGGCAAAGGAAAACCATCGAGCTTTTCCAAAGGAAAAGGGGCAAAGGCGGCTCCAATGCCCACTTTCGTTGTGGAGAGCCCCGGACCTTCGAATGATGTGTTTGCAGCCTCTGGAACTCCAGGCAGTGCTGGCTACACCGGATGTTTCGTGTGTGGAAGTAAAGGCCACACCTTCCGAAACTGTCCTTCTCGCTCCAACACCTCATCTTCTTCTAAGGGTTCGGGGAAGATCTTCATGGTAGCCGAGGTTGAAGAGCACTATGAATCAGAGATCCCTGAAGTGAGCCATAGAATGGACATCCCTCAGATTCTTTCCTCTGAGGTCTTGCAGCCAGAACTTCAGGGCTATGGTGTGCTCGACACTGGCGCCACGGAATCGGTGAGTTCCTTAGCGGCCTTGGAGTTCATCCACCTCAGGAGGACCGAGTTGCTTGGGCATGGTAACCATGTGACTGTGATCCCTGGGCCTCAGAAGATGTTTCGTTTTGGAAATGGTTCCCTTCAATTCAGTGAATCCTATGTGCACCTGAAACAAACCGTTGGCCCTCATGAGATTGATCTTGGCGTGTTCACGCTGGATTCGAAAGGAGTGCCTTTGTTGATCGGAGTTCGGACTCTTGAGAGGCTAGGTGCGATCATAGATGTTCACCAGAGTATCCTGGTGTTGAAAACGGTGGATCCTCGACTTGTGATCCCTTTGAGACGGTCTAGAACAGGCCATTTACTGTTGGACTTGTGCTCGAATTTTTGGATGGAGGGGCAAGAATCCTCTTCATGCAAGATTCTGCTGAAGCTGAAGCTGTTGAAGGTGAAAAGAATTTTGTGATTCAAGAGGAGTTTCCTGCAGTCTTGCTTCATGCCCCACACTATCCTTCGACTACCACGACATGTTTGAGTCCCACTATGGCCTCCACGTCTACTACGACGGCCTCCCTACCTCATGAACTACTTCATGGAAGGCACCACGAGGTCAAGGTGATCGGCAGTCAAGTGCTTTGTGATTCAGTACATGCAGTCCACGAACCACAATGTTCACACAACAGTTCATCAACTTTGGTCGAAAACCTTTTTCCAGTTTTTGAAGAGCTTCAGCAAATGCCTGAGTTCATAGAAGAGCCGATCGTTTTGGAAGAGACTTTTGGAAGTACCACACCTTTCTCTCCGGCCCTCTTGGCTGAAGAACGCAATTCGGATTTAGGTATGAGCCTGTGGATCTTAGCGATCCTTGCCACGGCCTCGTTCACTTCTCCCCATGGCGGCAACCACTACTCCGAAGAAGACTACGTCCTCCCGAGCCAAGGGGAAACAAATGCTCGAGGTGACGAATGCCGCGGGGACGTTCGAAGCGGATGTCAACCGGTTCGACACCGACCGGATGTGCGGCCCGGATCACCGGGACCCCAGGCTCCTTGGGGATCCCTGCCAAGGAACGCACGACCCAGCGCCACCGGGTCGCGGCTCACCGACGGGCTCCAACGCCCATGCATACTGGGTGGCATGCAATCGATGCCAACTCCGGCTCTTGTATGTCCCCAGCTACGGAGCCCACGGCCTGACAAGAGCAGCAGGTCCGTTACCTTCGGACGCGGCAGCCAAGGTGAAGGAGTTGGGAAACTCAGCGGCTTACAGCCCAGAGATGCGCAACAAGAACGTGGGTTTGGACGCTGCCGAGAATTCCTTGATGAAACGCTTGGAAGTCATCCGGGCTCAGAAGGAGCAACATCGTCAAGGCAAGCCGGAGACGAAACCAAAGGCCAAGGCAACTCAGGGCTACATCAAGGAAGAGCCGCCGAGGGATCCGGAAGTCATGAGCCAAACGCCTGGTCGGAAGGTTCGCAAACCCGAGGATGCAGCAGAGCTCCTGGAGTACCAGAACCGGAGTTCCGAAGCTTCATGGAGCGTCGCTGGAACACCACCTTCCCCCGACCAGACGTAGGCGAGATCCAGTACAAGGCCGAAGAGACTTTGGATCTTGGAGCAGTGCTTTCAAAGTATGACCTCATTCCCAAGAATGTGAACATGGATCCTCGCACTGTGCTCTTACAGAATGACACGGTCCTTGAGAATTTGGCCATGGCGATGAGCAGTGATCTCCAACAGAATGAGCTCGTCCCTGACTATGACGACATTGAGAATGAGGTGCCTGACTATTTGCTCGAACCTTTGAAGTACTATGAGGCTCCGGGAGAGGAGCAGGTGACCGATGATGAGCATGGATATGGTCCAGAAAAGTTAGAAGACTTGGCACCGGAAGACCAGAACTTCATCGAGGAGACACTGCAAGAGAAGAGGCTGGCCTTTGAGGATTGTTTGGCATCATGCTCCTCGCCAACGTTGCCAGAGAAGTTGGACCTCATGGAACTCTGCTGTGAGGAGGATAGCTTGATCACCCGAACATGGCGTTCCTCTGGAGGAAAGGCTGGTCGGATGGGTTTGTTCAACCATTGCAATCTCCTCACCGATGCTGGAACCCAGGAGGCAATTAGGTTGGTGCAACTTCACAGACCCGAGATTCTGTGGGTCGCCTTCCCGTGCGGCGCAACTTCACCTCTTCAGCATCTCAACGAGCTCACTCCAGAAGGCCGAAAGCGCAGCCAGCGCCGAAAGGCCCGATCACGTCGACTCATCAAGAATGGCATCAAGGTGATCGAAGCTCAGTTGAATCAGGGCGGAGAAATTGTCCAGGAATGGCCACTTCACAATGAGGCCTGGAAGTTTGACATCGTGAAGGATCTGTGGAACGCCCTGAGTGGAGTTGAGAGATGCGAAGATGTTTTGTTGGATGGCTGCCAGTTTGGTCTGAAGTCACCTCAGGGTGAGTTCATGAAGAAACCCTGGCGTTTGCGATCATCACGCCCGGGTATGATGACATCAATGGGACGTCGTTGTGATGGTCGGCATCAACACACTCCAGTGATGGGAGGCGATTTGGCAAAGAGGACAGCCCTGTATACTCCAGCTATGTGCAGGGCAGCTTGCAGATGCTTCAACGAGTTCCTGAGCCAGTCAAGAGTTTTTGGGGCACTAGAGGTGAAGATTGATAGAGAAGGTCTCAAGACCCTCACCGAGAAGGAGCTCGCTCATTTGGCTGAAACGGCCTTGAAGCTTCATCGTCTTTGTGGGCACCCCGGAAGTCACGCACTGGTACGCACTCTCGCGGCCAAAGGAGCTGATGGGAAGCTGCTTGCAGTAGCAGAGCAACTGAAATGCATGGAGTGCCTTGAGGGCACAATGAAGAAACCATCGCCCAAGGTGTCTTTAGAGAAAGAGCAGAAGCTGTGGCGAACCCTCCAAATCGACGCCTTTGTCCTTAAGAAAGGAGATGCAGTACACCACTTCCTCCTGATGCTGGATGAGGCTTCGGGTTTCTCCGTGGTTCATGAGATGATGTCGCACAGTGATGAACAGCATGAGAACATCACAGCACAGGCAACTCTGGATGCCTTAGTTCAATGCTGGTTTCAATACTTTGGCACCCCAGCTTGTTTGCGATGTGATTTGGAAGGAGCCTTCAGAGGTGATCTTTTGGAAACTTTCTGCAAGAGCCGCGACATAGAGCTTTCCTTCGTGCCTGCCGAACATCATGAAGCAACTGGAGATGTAGAGCGAGCAATCGGAGAACTGAAGAAGAAGATGCTAGCATACCTCCGGCAGGACAATTCTGCTGAACCACGCCTTGCTGCGTACGAGATGTGTGCTGCACATAATCGTTTTGCTCGAGTGAGTGGGTTTTCCCCAATTCAATGGGCTTTTGGCCGAGATCTTTCTGATGATACTGGACTCGCGACTTTGAGCGCAGCTGGTGATCCAACCTCAGAGATGAACAAGAACCTGCAGCTAAGACTTGATGCTGAGGCTCAATATCGAAAGATGCAGGCTAGGGCAAAGATCTCTCGTGCTTTGAACGCCAAACCAGACCGATCGACGCAGTACATTCCGGGAGATCTGGTCTACTACCGGAGATACAAGTTCCCCAAAGATGCCACAGCACATCGAGAACTTGATTTACCTCAAGGAAGCCATTTCCGGTGGTTTGGGCCTGCACGAGTTTTAGCCTGCGAAACCCGAGTCTCTGAAGATCCTCTCCTTCGTCGACCTGGCAACGTGGTGTGGATCATAGCCCAAGGAAGACTCAAAAGGGCTCACACGTCTCAACTCCGGCATTCCAGCGAGAGAGAACGGTTGATTGCAGAGGCAACCTCGGCCCCGACACTTCCCTGGACGTTCACCGCTCTAGGACAAACCCTCGACAGGGGCCAGTACGAGGGCCTGATCCAAGACAAACCTCCCACTGGCCAAAGGATGAGACGGGGTCGTTCAGTGGTGAGAAGCCGAAGCAGAGGACCACCTGTCCATCAACCTCCTGCTCAACGAGATAGACCTCTTTCAGAACCTCCTGTTCCTGCCGCTCGACCAGAAATCAAACAGACTTCAGATGATTCCGAAGAAGAGCTCATCCCTGTTCCAGAGGAGTCAAGACCTCTGAACCAGAGTGAGATGCTGTCAGAAGAGCCAGAGACACCCATGGACGTTCAACGTCTTCTACATGATCCGACCTACATGCCGATGAAGAGGACTTCAACAGAAGACCTGGCGGCCAAGAGAAGTGAGTTTCTTCGAGCTCGGCATCAACATGAGATGGCAGACAGGCCATTACATGTGAAGAAGCAAACCGAGTCTTCCGCCTCCTCCTCACAGGCGCTATGGCTCGATGATGTTGATCAGGACTTTGTGCTGAGCGTGATCATCCCGATCCCCGAAGATGAAGCAGCTTGGAAAAGGGTTTTGAAAAACCCCGGCCGCTTTGTGGCGAAATCAGTGCAAAAGGGAGCAGAAGTGGCCTGGGAGAAGCTCTCGCCATCCCAGAAGGAAAGCATGAAAGAGGCAAAGATGCTAGAGGTCTCCCAATGGGTCAGCCAGCATGTTTGTGAACGCTTCAATGGTCTGGTCCCCAGATCCAGGCTCATGCGCACAAGATGGGTCCTTGTGTTTAAGGCCATCGACGGAGATGAGAAGCATGTCAAGTGTAAAGCTCGCATAGTCCTTTTGGGCTACACGGACCCCGACCTGGGGGACCTTGCCACGGGAGCGCCGACGATGACACGTCGGTCAAGACAGTTGTTGCTGGGCCTGTCATCTTTGAAGCACTGGAGCATCACCAAGGCGGACGCCAAAAGCGCCTTTTTGCAGGGGCAAGACACTCAACGAGCTCGGGACATTTACATCACTCCAGTTCCTGAGTTGGCAGAACAGCTTTCCTGCAAACCTGGCGAATGTGCCAAGACGTTGAAGGCTGCATATAGCCTTGTCTCAGCACCTCGTGAGTGGTATGGAGAGGTCAACAATGTGATCACCACCAAGCTAGGAATGAAGCGCCTGACCACTGATGGTTGTGTGTGGATTCTGCAGGATCCCAAGTCTCAGGAGACCCTCGGCTATGTCGCCAGCCATGTGGATGACTTTTTGATCTCCGGATCCCCTGACCATCCCTTGTGGCAGAAGACAGTAGAAGCCTTTAAGGGAGCCTTTTCATGGAGCCCATGGGAATCCACTCCGTTCACCCACTGTGGCATTGGTGTGTCTCAAGAAGCGGATTGGAGTTTTCGTTTGTCACACCACACCTTCGTGGAGGAACTGCGCCCCATCGTCATTGATGACAAGAGTGAGATGGTCACAGCTCAAGAAATGAATCAAGCCCGGGCGCTGCTGGGAGCAATGCAATGGCGCTCCATCCAGACTGGACCTCAACACTCCTCGAAAGTGTCTTGGCTTCAGAGCTCTCTCCCAAAAGGGGGTAAAGATGTCCTGCACCAGATCAACAAGTTGAGCAGAGAAATGCACCACCAGCGCTATCTGTCCGTGTCCACTCGACAGCTGGGAGCCGAATCTGTGGACGACATCGGATTCGTGTGCTACACGGACGCTGCGGTGGCCAACCGGCCGAACTTTGCATCAACGGGCGGACACTTGGTGGGAATGGTCCATCGTTCCTACCTTCAAGGCAAGAAGGGATTTGTCAACCCCATCTCATGGAGGTCTCACAAGTTGGTTCGTGTGGCACGTTCCTCGCTGTCAGCCGAAGTTCAAGCGATGGCCGAAGGAGAACAAGAGCTGATGTTTGCTCGAGCAGAATGGTCAGAACTTCTCGGACGACCACTTGATCTTCTGCATCCAGAGCGTTCTACACAGCAAGTGCCTGCAGCCATCATCACGGACGCAAAGTCCGTGTACGACTGTGTGAGCAAGGGTGACACGACCAGCTTCAATATGAAGGGGAAATATACAGCACTTGAGCTGATGGCAGTGTTCAACCACCCTGAGGCTCAGCGGACAGCCTTGCTGTGGGTGGCTTCGGACAGCCAATTGGCTGATGGACTCACCAAGGGATCTGCCAGCGAGATGCTGACCAGATTCTTCCAAGGACATCAAGTTTGGGCGGCTTCTTTCGATCCCGAATTCGTCGCCGCGAAAAAGAAGAAGGGCAAGACTTCCACCACGGCTACCTCACATGAGCCGGATGAGGGAGCCGAATTTGACGAGGACCTTTCGTGGCGGGATTTGATTTCCAAGTCCAAGACGGCACGATCAGAGACTTTTCACGAAGAGTTTTTGGGGCATGTCGGTTCGTTCGCTTCGGCCTTTGAATGTTCGTTGCAAGACTCTGACGTGCCTGCTCGCCTCGAATCAGGGACCCCTTCAGCCCGCGTCTACCATAGACGCTTTTAGGCTACTTGTTTGCGCGTGCTGCCATAGGGCATCGCATTCGAATCCAGAGACCTTCGACCGCATCCATTCGTGAGGATTGGAGAAAAGCAGAGCTACCGAGGAGAAGAACTACTTTGACCTGGTTTCCGCTTCGTTGCATTTTTGTTGGTCGCTTTCGCTTTGCTGCCAATTCTCGATACGAGACAAGAATGTCCCAATCAATCTTGGGCCTTCAAGCTCCAGTGGCTTCAGTGGCTCCCATCAAATCCCATCAAAGAAGAACAAGGCTCAATGATCCTCATCCCGACCTCACGGTCCTCATTCCTCTGCACGGGGCCCCGGCAGCTTTGGCCCTGATAGAAGCCACGAAGCAAGCGCTTCATCACCTGGAAAGTCTCCCCAATGCTACTCCGTACTTCATGTTGGGAAGCGATTTACGTTACATGTGTAGAATGTAACATACCCGATTGACCGACAAGATCCAACAAGTGTTACTCTGAAACATGTCTGAAAAGGAGAAAAGAATGCACATATTAGTATGTATATATATATATGCCAGGGACTCCATATGTATATATATATATGTGTAATATGTAAATGAATACCGGACCAAATCTTGCATCTGGTCTAGGGACATAGCATACAATGGGTCGGCCCACACAGGTTTGTGGAGGCTTTGTGGATTGGGTAAAGGGCATTGGTAGATGGATATCTCACATCCACCCTGACTACTTTGGTCTTCGCAGATTTCGTCTATATATATATACAAGTAAATAAATATATACAGTATATATATATATACCCAGATAGATAGACAGATAGATAGATAGACAGACAGACAGATAGATAGATAGATGTTGCTACCCCGTATCAAAGCACTGCATGGAGCTGTACGGCTTGAGTAAGCCCCAAACCACGTGTTCAGAGCGAGCAGAAGGGTCAGACGTTAACAGTCCGTCATATTCCACCTTCAGGTGGGGAATAGCTCTCTTTCTGTTGGTCTTGTCGTTGGGGAATAGCTCTCTACTGCATCCTCCAACTTCTCCAAAGGGCTTCAGTCCACCTGAGGCCCTGAAATTCTCCACACAACCAGCACAAGGATGCCTTTCTGATGCTACTAGTAACAAGGGCATTACTTTCAGCACATGGTACACCCGCTGCCCGCCTTTCGCTTCTGCTGGGATCGAAAGCTCATCTCCATCACCTGGGGGAACGAGGATTCGCAGCTTCTTCCATTCGTTGTGATTCTTGCGGAGGAGATATGTGGAGGATGAGTTGTTCAACCCCTGAGATTTTTTCAACCTGACACATCCTCAAACCGAGTCTTAAGAGCAAATCTCTGGTCAGACCTGACAAGAGTGATGTTAAAGAAGTTTCAAGTCCCAAAGGCCCTGAATAGTACTGGCAAAAGAATTCTCACAAAAGAATCTGGTCCTGATTCAATCTTCTTTCTGCATCTCAGGCACAGTTGATTCCAGCAAGGATGGTCCAGAGGATTTTAAACACCAACTGGCCCACCTGGGTGGTAGGGTGTTGGCACTGAAGGCCGGGACAAATAGAGCCAAGCAATGCCCAAGCTATACAATAGTAAAATATAGGAAACTAGTACTAGTTGAACATTTCATCCCGTCCTAATCTTTGATCTGGAACCGAGAAAAATCCTACCCTCTGTAGTACTCGTCCAGCTAAAAACAAAATTGAACTCCCTGTTTATTCATCAGACGTGGACATTAGCTACATCGCTTTCCCGCTAGCCAGCCGGGTGAGAAAAGTTGTGGCGATAGGTTATCCTTCGGAAAGCTCTGAGTTTTTGAGCGCGACTTGCTCCTAGTAGTACGGCCAGGAGCCCCTAGTAGCGTCCTTGCTCCTGGTAGCGATGCCAGGAGCCCCTAGTAGCTTCTTGTTACTAGTAGTACGGCCAGGAGCCCCTAGTAGCGTCCTTGCTCCCAGTAGCGATGCCAGGAGCCCCTACTTCTTGTTACTAGTAGTACGGCCAGGAGTCCCTAGTAGCGTCCTTGCTCCTAGTAGCGATGCCAGGAGCCCCTAGTAGCTTCTTGTAGTACGGCCAGGAGCCCCTAGTAGCGTCCTTGCTCCTAGTAGCGATGCCAGGAGCCCCTAGTAGCTTCTTGTTATTAGTAGCGATGCACTTGTTACTACTAGACTTGCCGGGACACGGTTGCTTCTGCACATACTCTTCCACCGCATAGTGCACGGAGACTCCCGCTGCCTCTCCGTCAGCTCCGAGCATCGAAGGATTGTCGTTCTTTTTAGCCCTGCCTCCTTACTCAATAGAGTATGCGCCTAACTATATAAATTAAGTAAGGGCGACTAGTTAGTTACTATGATGGACGCAGGATAGCCCACACTCGCGCTAATGATTTGGTTCCTTTACTTTACGATGCCCCTCCTTCATGTCTCCTCTCTTTCTGTTGGACTGCTATGGCAATTAAGACATTGAAAGATCCTGTGAAGCATTCTGGGATCTTGCAAAGGACCTGATCACAAAAATGACATCAAATTCCCAGAACATGGGCAGACTCCTCCCAAAGCTCGGCCAGCTTTGGAAGGAAGGCTTTCATGGACCTCGCTGCCAAGATCCAAAGCTGGCTACCGCGGCTACAGGCTTGTGTTACCAGTAGTTCTTGATGGCAAATGTTACATCTTGGGACACAATCAAACATCAGTATGAGCAAGGGTGCTATTGCAGTACACCACTCAAGTGACAGGTTCGAAAAGAATTGTACTCAGAAGCTCTTGTCATCATTGTTTGGAAACAGTACCCTAAGCACAAGTATTCCATCAAAGCAACTGTTCCTACAAACCTAAGTTTAAGAAGCCAAAAGCCTGAGAAGCGAACTGCTCCACCCACGGTCTTTGTGACAGGGTGATACACACCGGCTTTCCCGCACCTCTGCATGCAGGTTTTGAGCAACCATCTGGGTTGCTATGTCTCGTCTCTGGCCCCCATCTTTAGAACAACTCAAAAAAGGGGGCAGTCAAAATTACTTGGCCCCTCGCCCAAAAAGATGTGGATTCAATCCTCTGCAATGCTAGATCTCCCTGTGATTTGCAAGGTCGTTCTGACAACTGTCATAGGAGCGCAATCGAATGGAACCAGGTTGCATGAGTAGCTGAAAATATATCTGGATGTATATGGTATCGATTGCAATTGCCATGGCAAGATTGGGGCTCCGTATCAGTGTTCAATCCCTGCAATGTTTTGCATCTGTATAGGTGCATCTAGGGGTATCGGTGCAGGCCGGCCTCGTTCTCAAGCTTCTTCATTCCCGATGACCACACAAGACTAAACTAAACCGTTCATTCCCAAAAGAACTTGGCAGCCGACTCAGCTCCTGCGCTTGTTCAATATGTCAACATTCAAGTGCATGTGATGTACTCTAGGACTCCAGGGCATGTAGAAGGAGTACAACATTCGATTAGATCAGCTGGGTATGCTTGAATGGCCCACCTCAGCACACCCCAACCGCCCGCCCAGCGCACACAAGATCGTCTCGAGGAACTGCAAGGCCTGGAAGTCGGCAAAGCTCATGGATTGAAGTGAACCGGAACCCAAATCAACAGGATCAAAGCTCATGGTCCCCAGATAGAAACGGAGTTAAACCCATGCTTAAAGCAGGATCCACTTTTCTATTAACAGTAATTACAAGTCTGTCCAAATTGCTCATGTCCGGTGCATTGGTTTAAAGATCTTTAAAGCTAAGGCCAACGGCATCGCTTTAGAATGCTTGGGACATGGGCACTGCAGGTAAATATTGTTTTGCAGGGTTTTGCAAAGTCTGCGCATATAATCGAAAGCACGACTTCCAACAGTGTTACTCGTACCTTATCAGATTGGCTTTCAACCCATGTTCCTCATTGCTTCTGCCAAACCGGTCACTTCTAGTCATCTCTCTACCCACCCATGGTGTTGACTGATAGCTACTAGGGGCTCCTGGCCTTACTACTAGGAGCAAGGACGCTACTAGGGGCTCCTGGCCGTACTACTAGGAACAATGTTTGCTACTAGAAACAAGAAATAATTAGAATTAAAGTATGTTGAATTAAGTTTAATTAGAACCCACCCAAACCGGACATCTCTCGACTACAGTACAAATATCTGGTGTTCCATCCCATGGTATTCACTGTATTGACTGGTCATCCAACGGCACACGAGAGTCAAAGGGGCTGCGAGCGCCACACCATGATTTTTGCCAGGAATGGGTCTGCCGGTCTGCCCCTGATATCTAAGCCTATGGCCTATGAAAACTTGTAACAATTTGATACATGTCCAACCTCTATATAGAGAGTAAAAACAGCTCAAGATCGATGAAATGAACTAAGTTGCTCCAAACCGACATTCACCTGGGCGGCCCAGGCTACTGTGTCAATCTCTCGCAACACATCAAGATCTTCTGGGTCGATCAGATCCGCTGCCATGGTCTCCACAGATCCCTGGAAGACATCGCAAAAAGAATGAACCCTTGAAACTCAATACGCGTGCCATGGGTCTGTTACGCCTAAGATCACTTAAAGTCAAAGGCTCTCTGCTGGTAAACGGACGTAAACAGACAGTCTCGCCTAGTTGCTGATTACTTCCCGTGCCACATGACCCTGATGAACTGGTTTCCTTACGAGGTCGACATGTCAACCCTGTCCAGGTTCTGATCTCAAATTCTTGATGTTCTATTGGTAGCTTCTTGCTATTAGTAACAAGGGCATTACTACTAGTAGAAAATAGCTACTAGTAGCTTACCACTAGTAGCAAATAGCGTCCTTGCTCCGAGCAGGAATGCCAGGAGCCACCAGTAGCTCCTTAGTCGCCAACTATTATTCCTTCTTCTAATTCTGATTCTGTCCAACGGTTGAGCCCATCGCACCTTTTGAGCTTCAAGCCATTCCTTGAACCACGGCCGACTTGTCAGCCAGGTAGTTGGCAAAATGGTGTCCTTGTGGACAAGTGGAAGCAAATCAAGAGGAAAAGGGCCAAATGAATCTAAGAACCAAATGAATAGTGCGAGCACTATCCTGCGTCCGTTCGCTGGTACCAGGTTACATAGTAGTTTGTTTAGCCCTTACTTAATCCAGTAGGCGCCTACTCAATTAAGTAAGGGTGACGGCAGCGGGCTAAAACACAAAAAAATAGAGTTTTTGTGGGACTCCCCTCGAAGCAAAAGGATTTGCCTTTTGATGCTTCACCTGAGAGACCGGCATCCCAATCTAGCATGATCAGGACCTTGGCATGACCAAGAGCTGGCAGCTTCTCCAGTTGGATAAGATGGATAAGAGATGATAAGAGCATGGCAATGGTTCGATTGGGATTTGGAGCATTAATTAGAAGAGCCCAGAAATCCTCGCTGGGCTTTACTTTGCGATAACCGTTTGCCATCAAGCTTGAGGAACGACATCTTCATCTCTCCCAAAGAAAGACTGGCTGGACATGTGCCCTTCCTGAGACTAGGACCTCCTCCCGGTCCCGGACTGCTTCAAGGACCTCAGTCGCTCCAGAGTGAGTGGTGAAACTTCCGATCTACTGCCCGACTCTGTAGCTTCAATAGTGTCCAATATGCATGTACATGTAATATATACAGCACTTCAGACTTACAGTAGATCCAGATAGAATGTGCCCCTTTCAAAAAATGGAAGGAATGAAATGAGTGGAATCCATCACTCACACTGGAAGAATATCTTTGGTGCCAATTGGAGAGGTGTGCCTTGCTTTGGTTGGCTCCACATATTTTAGACAATGGTATACCATTTCAGCAACATCGAATGAATGTGCGGCACATCGTCAAGTTATCTGACATGTGTTGGTTAAGAACCGTAAACTGAAAGCAGCAATACGGATGTTTCTGTTGCTTTTCTAAGCAACACCTCATTTTTACTACTGTCTAGAGCGCTGAATGGATGGAAAACCATCTACAACTTGAGAGGAGAGCCAAGCAAAATGTTGGTTGGCATTGGAATGAAATATGACTCTGACTTTGCTAATAATACCACGTCTCATGGGTATACAATTTACATCAAGTTGCCATTGGTTTGGTCGTCAACACTCCTACTCCGCTACAGTCGTCTACAACAAGGGGTTGTGATACAGAAACCATCCTTTTCAGCATGTTTCAAGAGGTTCCCGCATGTTCCCGCCACAGGGTCTTTGGAAGTGCCCGTTTGAATGATCAGTTCAACTGTTACACGGTTGGTTAGGATCCTCCGCACAACCTGAGGTGTCGTGCTGGCTCATCCAGCAAGAGAGCCTCCAAGTGAGAAGGGAGGTTTCGAGACTGTCATTGGGCTTCTTCCGGCGTTAAGACGGTTTCCTTTCTACCTTTGAAATCCACTTTTACTCTTTATGCCACTCCATACACTTGCGCCAGCAGATCGCAAACCTCTGATTCGGTGTTCTATCTTCAGTGCTCCTTCGATATACTTCCAGTACCAGGAAAGACTCGCGGACTTGGTGGCTAGTTGGTAAGGCCAGTTGCCTGCGGTCCACCCTTGGAGCCACGCAAAGCTCAAGTAGCTGTGCTATCCTTTGGGTTTGTAGAATCCCAGCAGTTTGTAGAATCCAATGTGCCCAAATGAGCACCGTACCCTCCATGCACTATGGGTCAGAGCACAAAGCTGCTTTCCCAGCCTCTTGCAGGCTGCTCCTCAAAGCAGCCACCAGTTTGTCAGAATGGATTCCAGCTGCACCTATTGCAGTCCAGCACAAGGGTGCCAAATGTTTGAGCCTCTTCCATACGTTCTAGAAGCAAAACGTGAAAATTACCAGTTATCTAGAATTTCAGTATCAAACGACTACCGAAACATCAAGTTTCCATGTGCAACATGGACCTTGACTGCGTCATCCATTGTCAATGTTACAAACATATGCCTCCACAAAATTACCTGCTCGTTCATTCTTGCCACCTCCGGGCAGGCGTTCCAAAAAGCCGCACCACTCATGTGAAGTACCCTGGACCCTGTGTTTCAATGGTGCGCTGTGCAAAGCTAAAGCTCGACTTCCTCATTCAAGAGAAACACCCCAAAGGAATAATTAAGCCCTTTCCCCTTGGCCAAGGTGAGCCAGAACATTGAACCCACAGATTGGATCAATTGTCAACATAGCAGTGTCTTCAGAGAAGTAAAGATTTCCTAAGGCAAACACCGTCCAAAACCAGCCCACACAGGTGGCATGCTAGTCTCCACGCCCAATTCCAAAAGTTTCTCTCACATATCCTGTCAATCATTGTCCTTTGACCTTAGTCATGGGAAAATTGATACAAATTTCTACCTTTCTTTTGGTGCTACTAATGTTCAGGCCCTGCATGAGGTTATGGGTCTGTCTCGGGACAGAGGGGCTGCCCCAACTAATATATGTGTGTTCAACTGTTCATCTATATATTCAATCTATTCTCCCCTCAGAAAACGAGGCCTTTTGAGGGGGCTTTGGGCTTTAGGGCTTCCCACTTCTGGACAAGGAAAAACGTCCAAACTCAAAACAAAAAACAATACAAATGGCCAAACATTCCCACTGGCCCACGGATGGTCCATGTGTTTAGCCGTAATAGTAATACCGGTCTGCCTTCTGGGCATGCCTCCTCCAGAGCGATTCTGCTGGTTGGATGGATGGAATCAGGTACATGAATCCATCATAGGACCTGCATAAGCAATAATAAGTCCTGTTTTGTTGGCTACCACGGGAAGGGACACCATCATATCATTGTAACTACTTCACGTCCTCAGGCTGAACTCTCCTTGTTCTCCCCTGAGAATCCAAGCATCGGTGTCCTACAAATGAAAATTTGATCTTCTTTAGTTCTGGTGTACAAACTGCAACCTGTGTTCTTTCACGAACATTCCTATGATCAAAAGAGGTTGATGTTCCGACACCAAGCATCCAATGATCAATTTTTGAGAATGAGGCCGCATCGGCCAACAATCGCAGATCGGGTTTTCATGACGTTTCTATGTAAAGAGCACCATTTCAGATTTCCGTGCAGGGATGCAAGGACAGGAGTACGGACTTGAGTGCGGGGAGGTTCATTCCCGGCTGGCCAAGGCTGGCAGATCTCCTCGTCCAGCAACACGGCATACTGTGAACCTACAAAGGGATCCTCAGCCGCATGGAGGTGCAGTCTGGCAGTCTGATGCTGAAGCATACGCGTGTGTCAAAACAATGAAAAAATTGAGTTCAAGAAAAGAAAAAGGAAAAAATAAAAGGTGCAAGACGGATGCGGTCCTTTTGCTATGAAGCTTGGGCCTATTGGCCATGGGTACAGTTTCGATTTGTGCGTGTCGTGTACGCAGGATTGTTGTCATGGAACTCTCATGTGAATCGATCACTCCTCCTTCCTGCGTACAGAGCTTGCACATGTTGAGATCTCGTGCGTGCCTCCAGCGCATACACTTGGAGGAAAAATGCACCACCTTTCCGCGTTCAGTCATGCGCAGTTGGCACAACTGATGTTCGACCTTCGTGGCACGGCTATCCGAAAGCCTGACTTGGATCATAAAATCATCCATAGTCTCCTGTACTGCTTTCAGCCGTTCTTCCAACTCTATGATGTATGTTTCTCTGCTGAAGCACTGCCTTTGTGTATGCTCCAGCTCTTTCAAACACTTCTGGAGGTCTGAGCTCATGACCTCTTCGTTGGTTTGTGTTTCCTTTTCTTCCATCATGATCTTCAAGGTCAGTGTGACCTCTTTGCCACTCACTATCTCCTTCACATACTTCACCAAGTAGTCCTTCGCGCCATCGAAGATCTCAGTCACATAGACCTGTAGCCATCGCAGCAGACTCAAGGCCCCAAGCAAAGCACATGTGCATAGGGTCATCCAACCCCATTCCAAGCCTTCATGTACTTGAACTTCTCCCTCATTCGGCACGCCTGTTGCCCTTGTCAAGGTGCTGAGCAACATTAGCAGGCCAATCCTCATGTCCTTGCTTTTCCCAAACTTCTTGACGCTCTGCTTCAAGTTGCGCTGCTCTTCCAACTCGCGGAACTCCTCTTCACCCACACGGTCACCGATGGCGTCCACCATGTTCAACATCCACAGTAGGGCTTTGCGCCTCTTCTTGCCCAGGCATTTGGTCCCCAGGTCGGCGCAATTGAGGTCCGTGGGGATGGATGCAACAGTCACCGTCTTCTCCTTCTCCTTCTGCTGGATCCACAGCAGCGATGCATCCAAATGACGCACCCTGCCAATGCCCTGCCTCTGAGTCATCGCCCTTGCCGCAGAGCTGTCAGACCTGATCTTCAGGACACATAGCTGTCCTGTCAGCTGCTGCCATAGGTGCTTGATCAGCAGGCCTTCAGAGCACCCTGCCACCATCGCCACAAACTCTGCTTCTCCGGATGACAGGGATATAGCCTTTTGTGACCTCACCTTTGACTCCACCAGGTTCCCGTCAATGAAGATCTGGAAGGAACTGGTTGACTTCCGGTCGTGTTGATTTCCTGCATAGTCAGCATCGGTCACCACCTCAACTAGGTGTTGGTCCTGTGGCTCCACGTCCACTGAACATCTCATGTCCATCACTGACTGGCCCCTGCTCTTGCTGTCGATGCGGACTCCAAAGCCTCCAGTGCCGAACAGGTAGGAGCACACATGCCATGCATGCTTCATTGCTTGAGCTGTCGGCTTTGCCATATGTCGTGCCAGGCATTGTATTGCAAACTGGGCGTCCGGTCTCTCCCCTGCCAGATACATCAACCTGCCAACAATGCTTCTATATCTGGTGACTTCTCCTCCTTCGAGTGCAGGTGATGTGTCCTTCTTCGTGAAGTTTGCATCCAGCGGGGTTTTCCGGTAGAACTTTGAGAACAGGTCCACATCCTTTTCAAGGCCGTCATACTGCTTTCTGTCACACCTTTCATCGCAGTGATGTGGTCTCAGGGTGAACTCCCTCTTCAAGTAGTGGAATCTTTCTCCAGGCTTAAATGGCCCCTTTTCTTCCACATTCCAGCTTTTCTTTTCCTTCAGGTAGTTCACGAAGCCCCGGAGCCGCTGAGTGATGCCCACCATAAACACATCATCCACATGCACCGTCAAGTACAGTTCTCCTGGGATGTACAAGAGGGTAGGCTGCATAGGATCTTGCTTCATTCCAAACTCAATGCAAGCTCCTGCAAAATGCTGGAACCACTGTGATGCAGCTGTCCTCTGGCCGGGTAGGCAACGAAGCAATTTGAATATGCGGCCATTCACTCGGACATATGCTCTTTCCTTGGCAGGCTGTGGCGACATCAGGAAGGCGCCCTTAACATCTAAAGTCATGACCGAGAATCCCACATAGACGTTCAAGGTCAGGTGGAGGAGCATCTTTGGCAAGCACATCATCCCTGTCGGAGCGAATGCTTGCTCCAGCTGTATTGAATTTCTGAACTGCCTTGCCACTAGTCGGGCTCGACGAAACCACCCGCCTTGATCAAGTCGACGCTTCCAGCACATGACTTCCTTTGTGGAGATGATATATCCACCATTGATTTCCACCTCCTCTGCATCAACTTCCACCACGGCTGGCATCTCCAACATCCTGTTGATTTCCTTGTCTTTTGCCATGATATCCAACTGCTCCAACTCCTCTTCACTGACTTCAGGTGGGTCATCTCCTTCTTCACTTCCACAGCCCCAGACCTCCTCCTCCATCACATCCTCCGGGATGTAATCTGCACCAACTTCCTCATCTCCATGCGCCTCAACTGCATTCACTCCCGCAAAATGCGGACCAGAACTTGTCGGTGAGGCTTGCGTTGACCTCTCTGTTGGCGCTGACTCCATTGGGGCTTCAGGTGTTCTTGGAACTTCTACATGGGCCTTCTTTTCGTCCTCATCATCACTGATCTCGATCACCCTTTTCTCATGCGCCCTGCGCGGTGAGGTGGATTGATCTAGCTTCTTCTCCTCATGATCATCTTCTTTCTCCTCCTCCAGCAGTGACCTCTTGTCACCCTTCGATCTCGGTGACATCAATGCTGGTGTTGAAGGTGCAGGAACTGCAATGCCTGGTGTGGTCGGTTGAGCACGTAGACCAGGAGCTGGTGTCACCACACCAGCAGCCACATCTGTTGCAATCTGCCTTGTTTTTTTGGGTGGCATCAGTTTCTAACGTGGGCAGTCGATATTTCTGGGCTTGACCTGAGTGCTTGATGAGGATACCTTGTGGCGAGTAGCTCCAGGGCAATCCTTTGGCACATAGTATGTCCACGCTCTTGAAGGAATCTTCTGGCGCCAACCTTCTGATGGTTCTACTCTCAAGAGCTCCATTCTCCGTGAGGATGATGTGGCAGTCTGTCCATGGATGTTTTCCAGCCCAAATGCCTCGCTCGAACGTTCCACTGCCCTTGTACTGGACGATTCTCTTGAACATGACGCTCTCGCCAAACAGTGCCAGTTTTCCTCTATAGGCGTGACCAGTTGCGAGCTCATGGCTTGTCTTCTTGCAACCATCCAGTACACGGAACCGGTTGATGAGGAAGGCTGCATGCCTGAAAGACCAGGGAAACAAGTGAAAGTTTCCCAAGATGTTGATTCGTGCTCGGTCCTCAGCAAAGGCTCTCAAGCAGTTTGCTAGCCTTCTGACAGTTTGTACTGCTCGTTCTGCTTGGCCATTCGAAGCGTGTTGTCCCGTGCCAGTTATCCTCAACTCCGTTTGCAGACCCATCACACTTCGAACCTGCTGCACTGAACGCAGAATCTGTCGGGCGGCGCGTTCTCCATCTGCTTGCAGGATGCACTGGTCTCTGGAGGCATTCTCGAGGGTGAACCTCACAATCTCCTCCGTGACATTCTTCAAACTTGCACTGCCCTTTGTGTGGATTGGCACAGTATGGATGGCCTTCGTTTCGCTGGATACGGCCACTAGGCATGTTCCATAGTGTGCCTTTCTTGGACTTTTCCTGATGGCGTTTCGTCTAGACGCCCTTCTTCACCTGGGATGATGTTCTTTCCAATGTCTTCCTTCTCACTCACATTCTTGTAGTGATCCTCTTTGGCTCGACATGCCACGCAAGCTTGGCACCATGGAGCATAGGGCCAATGGGTCACAAAATGCAATTCCTGTTCTGCTAAGCTCGGCAACTTTGGCTGACCCAATGTCACTGGCCTTCTCTGTTGTTCTTCAAAGAGCTTGCTGGCGGCTGCAAGATGCATCTGTGTCTCCAGGTGCACTTTGAAGTTCATCAACCTTTCCAGCAGCTTCTTCTTACTGCCTGTCCAGGGTAGCTGCCTTTCTTTGCATGCTATCTGCAACTCCTTCACTGTCATCTTCTCCGAGAACAGCACCTGGCCGAGCTCCACCTCATGCGCTTTCTCTGCCACCACCATCTTTTCCACATCATGATACATCTCTTTGTGCTCAAGCTCATCCAGCTCCTCTGCATCATCTTCTGACCGCTCCACATGGCCAAAGGACTCCTCCGTGCAGGGATATGGTGGTATCGGCACTTCTGATCCACTCTCCCGGAAATCTTTGAACCTTGTGGGAGAGAAGAATCTCAGCATGCGCATAGGCTCATTGTCCATTGAAACTCTGCGAAAAGCCATGCTGCCCAGGCTGTTGAAGTCCTCCACATTCTCCAGCTGAGTCCAGGTGTCGTCCTTGTTCTTCACCAGAGTGAGCCGCGCTTTATAGCTCTTCTCAATGCTGCCTGCCGGGTTCGTCATGTGGCTGGCCACTGTGTCACTGTAGACCAGCACTCCATTTGGCAGTCGATGCCATCCCGGGGTCATCTCGAGGCTCTTCACATACTTGCTCAAGTAGCCTGACAATGCAAACACTCTGGCCTCCTTCTCGTCGCGCTGCGTTGATGGAGACTTCACTGCAAAAATCCTTGCTTCAAACTGCAAGGAGTTTCTCTCTGTGTTCATGGGGATCTCAATGCACCTCTCCTCATGCTTTAGATGCAGTTGTCCTTCAACCCCACTGAGGCTCCATCCACTTTGCAGCAATCGCCCTGCACATAGGATTGGTCGATGTACGGCGCCTGGCGCGGGCTCCTCCGCCCCCGCCAGCCCATCATAGGCAATTCGTCTCCCTTGGGCATCCACCATCTTCAGCTCCCCACTGCTGGCTACACTTGTCCCGACACCCGCAAATTCTCTAGGGAGCTTGACCTACCCGGTCTTTGGGAGGATGGAACCACCTTGGTAGAACGAACCGAGGCCTCCAGCCAATCCTGAAAGGATCACCAGCTCCAGCAGCCACAAAGATGTAATCGAGGGGCTCGTGGGTCGTGTTGTCCGGGATGAGGAGATCGTAGTGCTCGTAGTGCCGCGTGGGTAGGGGGCCCCGGCGCTTTACGGCTAGGGCTCCGCTACCATGCAAGACGGATGGGGTCCTTTTGCTATGAAGCTTGGGCCTATTGGCCATGGGTACAGTTTCGATTTGTGCGTGTCGTGTACGCAGGATTGTCTCATGTCATGGAACTCTCATGTGAATCGGTCAAAAGGTCTAAATGCTTACACACGGACACACGGACTCGAGAAAATGCGTACTGAACTGATCGCCCCAAGCCCTCAAGACCCCTAAGTGCAATAAATTGCCTGGGTAAAACAGGTAGTATGTGAGGCAGCCTGGTCATCTCCACAACGCAAAAGATTTTAGAAGGACTCAGATCCAAACTGCTAAGTCTTCCTATGCGACGACTGCAAGGCTGCCGACGATGAACCGCTGCAATGGCCAAAGTCTTGTTCTAGCTATGAACGGGACCAAGTGGGGAGTGAGAAGTCAAACTCTGCAAGTACAGGAAGGTGATCAGCCTTCCTTCATTGCACACGGTCGGTCATGGATGCCGTGTGCCCCTGCCCTTAAAACACCAAAAGGTTCCCTATGATTCCAAGGGTTCCAAAGGCTAGGGCTAGCGGTAAGGCTAAGGTGCAAGAGCGCGCGCACAAAAGACAAAAAGATGAAGAGGTGAGAGGAAGACGAGACAGGACAGTGTATGTGGCTGCGATGAGAAGGAACCAAGTGAACAGGAACAACCAAATGAGCCATACCTCATAAGAAAAACCTGGGCGACCTCAGACCTGGGCTTAGTGTACGAGTGCACATGAAGGCTAAGGGCGGGACCAATGTTTGCGCAAAAGAGAGAAAGGGATGGGATGACAAGACATGAAGACAGAAAGGAAATAGAAAGAAAGAAGAAAAGAATGTGTGCGCGGAAAACACGTGAAGGGGAAACCAAATGGAGGGGGCCGGAAAAAATGAAACCGAACCTCATTAAGGGACCTAGGAACACCTGGCCTGGCTTTGTAGGTGCATGCTGTGTGTGCACATAGGGCGCCGGCAGACCCCACTGAGTCCTGAGTAAGCTATGCCAGCTGCGGCCTACTCTTGCCATGCCAAAATGGCGGGCTACTCTTCTCCGCTGTCGACTACTCATGGCGTGCCAATGGCTGCCACGATGAACAGCTGCAATGGCCAAAGTCTTGTTCTAGCTATGAACGGGACCAAGTGGGGAGTGAGAAGTCAAAACTCTGCAGGTACAGGAAGGTGATCAGTCTTCCCTTCCCATCCATGACCGTAGCTTCATTGCACACGGTCGGTCATGGATGCCGTGTGCCCCTGCTCCTTAAAAAAAAAAAAAAACGTTACCTGTGATTCCAAATTTCACACACACAAAAAAAGAAAAGAAAGGAATGAACCCAAGACCGAGACCTCCGATGCCCCAAAACAGTTTCACGTTTCTAGATTGAGATCTTGCAGAATATTCAAAGAAAGGGGAGTACAAAGGGAATACCTTCCGTCAGAACTTCATAGCCCGTGTGGCACGATGGTTTCAACATGTTTCAACACTGGGTCACTGGATGATGAATTTTCTGCAGTTGGATATCTTCAGCATCTGGAGTGAAAGCCAGCGAAATTCTAGGCATCTGGCCTCATCCTCCAGGAAGTCGTTTTCAAGCTCCTATAGGGACGAATCATTTGGCTCAACTTGTTCGGCTGAAACTTGGAGAAGGACAGTCTTGAACTGCATATTCCAAGTGACTGTTCTTGAACTCTGGGCTTCAGGAACCCAAACACAACTCAATAACATTTCCTGAGCTCAATCAAATATCTCAGTTACGAATGACCTAAGGCGCCTAAGGAAGGTACGAGTAGTACATTCCAACATCCACACACATGAATTGAACATCATGTCTAAAGCCTTGCGTTGCACTTGTGCACCACAATCAGGACGTTGAATGAGCATTACTGGGAACCCGGTGTCCACATCGGACCACTGAACTGGCGTTCCCACCTCTCCGGGGGTAGGACAGGTCGTTGTGGCAGAGCTGCCCAGAGTTTTCTGGGAACCTGTGGCGCCGGGACTCATGATGGCGCTGGGGTGCCTGGGACTCTAAGTGAACCTCAAGGTCCTAGGGAAAACAGAAACCAAGAACCTTCAAGGGCTTTGACTCTGAGGGTACTATATATATATATATAATTACTATATTCCATGCCAATATCTGTCGAATGCATTCTTCTGAGTCATGCGCCATCCTTGAAAGGCTCATCTGCGAGGTCCTCTCATATCTCGAGTGAGACATTGAAGGAATGATGAGCCAATGCCGGTTTCATCAACTCTCAATCAGGTGCAGCAAGTTTCAGCAACATCTGCACAACCACTGGCTCTCCACTCGGTCCTTCGGTTTGAGAGTTGCCAATTGCAAGTTCTCCTCAAGGTTGTCTCAATGAGCGTCTGGTATGTTCCCAATAAATGTTCGTCCTGAGTTCTATTGTATATGACCTCCTTGTGACGATTTGGAACCACAAACCGCAACCAAATTATAGTTTTTGCATTGTGCAACAAAATGCCGTAACCCATCAAACCGCAACTCATCTCCAACAGAATCGCTGGACAGCTGGCATACAAGGGTAGAAGAATACTCTGCCCCTTGCATCCAATTGCATCGCTTGACCGTATCGGGTGGCCTCTGATCTGAACCCTATCGAAGCCCGTTCGATTGAGTAGCTCCATCACTCCCAACAGCTTCGCCCAGTCCTTGGACTGCCAAACCCGCCACAGCTGTGCCTCCAATTGTAGACCTCGAAAGCCCAAGCGCCACACGTTCGTTAGTCTGGTTGGAGATTACTTTTCAGCCCGTGGCCCTGCCTCTGCCCCCATACTATTTAATTAAGTGGCGGGCAAGCTTCCTTGGTTCCTAGATATTAAGGGAAACTTAACAAGTGCATCTCGAAACTAGGGTGATGACACAGAAACCGGACTTGCAGTCACAGCACATGAACACATATGGGCAGGAGCCGGAACTGGTACGACAAATGGTCAACAGTGGCTGCTGGTGAATGACCGACTAACCCTGAGCATCAGATTTCTTCGAGAATCCCTCAGAACCATGCTGCGCAGTGGTGCAAATGCGTGCAAATTCATCAGTGATACAGAGGGGCTTGAATCATGTTTTTAAAGGGGTGTTTCTGTCCTATCTTATTTTCCTAGTATGGAGAAGTTTAAAAATAAAAGTAGAATAACAATAATAAGAAAAGTAATAAATAACAATATGTTTTGTGCACATCCCAAGCTGACTTGTTGACATGCCGTACATTCGGGGCAACATCCATACTGCAGGTGTGCGATGGCTCATGGCGGTGGATCAAACATGATTCAGGAATTAGGAGCAAGGACGCTACTAGGGGCTCCTGGCCTTACTATTGGGAGCAATGTTCGCTACTAGGAACAAAGGGCATCGCTACTAGGAGCAAGGACGCTATTAGGTTGGAGGCCATGAGACTAGGTGTCCGTTCCTTTTGAGTATTTCAGTACCACTCGCTCATTGCTCACACGTGCAATGAATCTCACTCCAGCAAGTTCATGGCCGGCGGCCGCAAGAGACACGGAACGCGTACACTCCTCAAAGTGATTAACATAGAACCTGAGGCTGAACCTAGTCAAACATGGAAGCTGCGTACGTTTAACAACCCCAGAAATGCAAGGATTCCAGCAGTTCCCCGGAAGCAAACAAGCCACTCCGCGGGGTTGAGTTGGGTGATGGTTTGAGCTTCAAATCAAGTGAAAAACAGAGTCAGAAAGCAAGCAGGCATCCGCCTCTAAAGACGCCCATAAAGACACGTTGTGTGGTTCCATGTCTAATGCAAACCGCCACCCTTCTCCGGGTATAGACATGCATACCACGTAGCAAACAAACATAAAACCACACGTTCTTACTCTTAAGAGGAGTGTATTCTCCTCATGTCAAGTTCTCTTGACACTTGTTAAAGGAATAAGGAAACAACCTCAAACCGATTTTGATGATATCATAAGAAGGCATTATTTTGATATTCTGACATAACGTCAAAGAATAGTGAATAGTGAATACTTTCGCCACCCCATTATGCCATGTGCGAATCTTTCGAGCAGGATTTGAACAGCAGGTCACTCTTTACCAAGAAAACAATCAACACGTTCGATCAATGCGGGAGTTCCCGGCTAATCAAGTCCTTGAAGGAGTATGAAAAGGTGAACATGTTGCAGAGAACATCGACAGTGTTGCCTGCAAAATGTTAGGTGACGCCAGGGGTGACACGTGGATGAAACCCAACAAGTCTGGAGTTGGGACTCCCTCACCTCTCAAGGTTCCTGCCCAGGTACTTGACGGCTCATCGAATGGCCTGGTCTCGGCCAATACAGGATGGGAAAAGCGACGAGCTGCAAGGTTACCTGCTGGCCAACTGGTGATCAGTTCGTTGCTTGGATGTTTATATATGTATGATACGTATGTTTGTATTGTCCCTCTCCTGCTGCTGCACCAATCAAATCCATGTGACATTTGTTGCAAAATCATGGTCCTTGGAACCATTGGAACCATTTTGGATCTAGAGCCGTCTGAATGCTTCAAGAGCCTCTCATTACCACAGAGCGAACCATCACAGAGAGTTCAAACAATTCATACACCTGCCTGTGGGGCTTCCGATGGTTTGATATTCCTTCATGGACTGAACGGCGTAGGCGTTCAACTCGGTGTCATCTGCTGTGGAGGCCTGGGTGCCCCAGTAGCTGAATCACGACACCAGGGGCACCGCGAAATTCCAAGGAGTCTCATGCTTTACCCTGCGGGGGGCAACAGCCAGGAGCATGGCGACACTTGTTGTGGGAAGCTTCCAAGTGTTTTTTGCGGACCTACTGGATGAACCAATAATGTCTAATCTGAAAAATACACGATACACCCCAAGGTCTCAAAAGCAAACCTCTGAACTGGGCGCTCCTATGTTTCCATCGATTTCCCGCTTCAATGTCTGTTTCCCTCCTGTGTGGCTCAAGAGTGGATGGTGGGGAAAGCAGGTCTGTCAGTTAGAAACACCTCTGCGAGTTGAAACGCCCTCTCAAAACGAGGCCTCTGAGCCTCACACTTGAGGCCTCTGGCGCCGCCGGGTAAGCTCCCTAGCCGGCGGGTTGATGAGAGGGGCTGGATCGATCCAGCAAACAAGTTGAGCGCGTCGCCACAGGAGGCCGGTAAATCTGTCGTCCCAGTTGACCCAGTTGAACAGGAGTGTCCCAGTTGACCCGGTTGAACCCAGTTGATCCAGTTGACCCAGTGGTAGAAGAAGTGGTGGTGGATCCAGTTGATCCGGTTGAACCCAGTTGACCCCTAGCGGTAGCAGTAGCAGTAGCAGTAGTCGTCGTCGTGGTGGTGGTGGTAGCTTGTTGGGGTCAACTGGGTCCGCAGATTTAGCGTGGCCCCCTATGCAGTCGCAATGAACAAGTTGGTTGCAAGTCATTCCTCGCACTGGCCTTGCCAAGCGCTGAAAATCAGCCGGGTTGCTGCCTGAACGCAAGCAAGCAAGCAAGGTGCAGCAGCTTGCAGGGACCCCTTGCATTGCCACTAGATGCCACTATAGAGATCACTTGGGCTGCAAGATTGCAGGAACTCACTGTGAACCTGAACGAGGTCAAGACTCCACAACCCAAACATGCATCTCCCGGCCTTGTGCAAAGGTTTCCTCTGACTTGCGCAACTTGCTGCGTAATTTGCTGCTCTCCATGTCGGGCCTTGCACTGCGCTTGAAAGCATGCTGGCCAGATTCAGAAAGTGGAAATGGCTTTTTCAAACATGGGGACATCCTTGGAGAACCCGAGAAAAAAGGATCAAGTACACTGAGTGAATAAGTATGAATAAGTGAATTCACTCATAAGTTCATGAATATGAAGATCAAATTTTGACAAAAGACGATTTAACTGGATGAAAACAAAACATCTTTAAAAAAAATCCTCTGCCTTCCGGGGATGGAATACAGGTCATCTGCAGCATCATTGAAAACTTGCAAGGCCCCTAACTTGGCGCCTTAAGGCTCCTAGACCCCTTCCTCAAATTGGCTGGCTTGCTGTGGGGCCTGATCTTCCCAGCCAGGCCGATGTTGGGGGTGATTGACTTTGTAAATGAGGATTGGATCCCTCCACATGGGTACACCCCACAGAAAACTGAATCATATATTGGTTGACAGCTTGGGTACGCTTCCTTGGGATGATGTAGCTGGTGTTGTGGCAAACCTTGAGTGGCTCCCTACACTCGAAGCCAACAGGCAGCTATGTTCAGCTTTGCTCCCATGCATTTCACAAATCCGGTCAACACAATGTATATAATGAAATTGATGAAAATGGACAATGGACTTGAAAGATGATGGCCTACTCCTTGCACTGCTGTGGTCTCGGCTCTTACTCTCACGATGGCTATTCACTCGGAGGATATTATTTCCTGAGAAGAACAGTCACCTTTGTCTGTACTTGCTTGGCATGGCAAGAGGCATGACTGACCATTGATCACTGTGCTTTTTGGAAAACTCACACACAGTGCTGCTGCACGCCACTCAATTAGCTTCTTTTTCTGAACAAATTATAGAAACAGCCGTTAAGCTGCAACTCCTGTTTTGGGCCGCGAGCTGCGAAGGTAAAGTCAACATGACATCCTACTATGTGCAAGGTACAAAATGTACATATTACATGGAGTGAAAATACACCCCCCTCAGCTAAGGTAGCTTTGCTCCCGAAGCTGGACGCGGAAAGTGCACGAGGGCTTGTGCAGGGCGCGACAGTGATGTCGGCTCAAAGCTGCATGGCAGTTGTGGATGCTAGCAATCCACTGCCTTCGTGGCCCTGTACGTGCATTTTAATTATTCACTCCCCGCCGCCAAAAGAAATTGAAAGTTTGGACTTGGGAGGAAAACCGCATACATATTGACAATGGATGTCATGCAATGAATTATGCTCGCTCAGGCAAAAAGGTTGAGACTTGGCTCAACTAACGCCAATGCCACTGGCTCCAACTCGAGCTCCAGTCCCACGAGCGGCGGTCCCACTGCCGCTGCTCGCCCCACTCGCTCCAGTTCCATGAGCTCCATCCCCACGAGGACGATGCTGATCCGGATGCACGTGGGCTCACCGGTGAAGGTGGCGGACCTCCCTTTGCCTTTGAAGCTGGAGTTCCATCACCTCCGGTAGAGGACTTGCGCTTGCCCTTGCTCTGCTGCTGGCGCTGCTCTTGAGTCTGCTTGTTGACCACATCACGCCTGGCAGCGGAGAGGTTGTCATGGCATAGCTGGCGAATCTCCTCCATTGCGCAGTATTGACTCATCTGATGCACACCGTCCCAAGCCAAAAGGCCACGATGGGAGTCGGGTGAGTTGATGTACTCGATGTACTCACGCAAGGAGAGGATGTTTGTGCGATAGATCACGCACCATTGCTCAGGAATGTAGTCCATGGCCTGTGGATAGCGATCGGGCGCTACGTCGATGTAGGCCAGCCGTGCCAGAGAATGATCTTCGTCATATCCAAGGCCCAGGCTGACTTGCGCTTTGTTGCGCGGCGGGTTCGCCAAGTGAGCATGGCAAAGCCAATCCTGCCGCTGCGCTGCCCGATGGTCATAGCCCATTTGTAGCATTCGTTCCATGAACTGGACGTCATGCTCGAAGCGATCCTCGATGCTCTGGAAGCCACACTTGTCTGCACGCTTCATCCGGCTGCGAGCGTCTTGGATCATGATCGCTTCTGGGCTCATGTTTCCACGGCCGCTTGCAGACACCACACGCAGGTTGAGGCCAGCCTTGATGTAGTCGCTGACTGGGCACTCAGTGCGAGCGAGGCCGGCCCTCGCAAGCTGCTGCTTTCGGAGAACTGAAAGTCTGGTGACGGCTTCCTCCGGCAGCTCGGTGTTGGTGGCAAGTTCGGCTGAACAAATGTCACAGTGGGTCATGCCCCTGAGGACTAGACCCTTGCACTGGCTGCATTCGACCTGGATCACCGTCAGCTTGCGTCCCTTTCGAAGTGTCGGGGCGGTGATCGGCGCATCAAAGCCAGGTGGAGGCCCCGCAGGCTCAGGCGGAGCGTACCCGCTGTAAGATGCTTCAGGTTGATCTTGCTCTGCCACATTCACGATGGAAGTAGGTGGAGTCGAAGGTGCAGCCTTGCTTGCAGGTGCCGATTTGCTGGTTGCGGTCAGGGAAACAGGCATTGCTTTTGCGGTTGGCCGGGGCTCGCCAGTGATGGCGGCCCGGCTCTCACCTCCATCCGCTGGAGCAGCCTCGTGTAGGCCAACGGCGCTTACCCTGGTCCAGAGTGTGGACTGGCTTTCGGTGTTTTCGACGGAGACAATGTATTCTGGAGGTACCGTGTCAACCGTCATGATCCCACCGGAGCGGTTCTGGAAAAAGATGAGACCGCCATCGACTGCTTCCCGAAGTGCAACGGTAAGCTGAATAGGGTGCTTGCCGCGGAGACCGCTTTGATAGTCGGTCTCCGTAATGCGACTTGCAGCCAGGTAGACATGGGCTCGATCGCTGCCAACAAACTCGCCCCCGCCTGGGATAAGGCCCTCCTTGACGATCCGCTTCCAGCACGCTGGCCTCGTGCGGTGGTAGGCCAAGACAGGGATCTCATCCGCTTTGGCGATGGGCTTCCCAATGAAGGGAGCTTTGGCTTCTGGCCTGAGCGCAGGACTGCAGTACATCAGGGCTGCCGATCTGTAGTTGTCCTGTGCGCTCTTGATCGCGTGCTTGCTTTGGCCAGCAGCGGCACGCATCTTCAGAGGCCATAGTGCCACGCCCTTCTCCTCGAGTTTGTGCCCTTCTCGAATGCCCAAAAACTCGAATCGGTTTTTTCTTGTCCTTTGCTGCTATGGCGATCAAGTCTTTGACGGTGAGCGGCGGGGCACTGCGGTGATTCAGGCCGAAACACCTGGCTACTTCGTCCAAGTCTGCGTAGCCATCTTCGTCAACCTCAAGGCCCAGATATTGGTCATGTTGTCGAACAACTTTGGATAACTGGGTGAGCCAATCCTTGAGGGGTTTCGCGAAGAAAAGGTGCCCGCCATTGAGCTCCCATCCGCTCGCAAAGTGGAGCGGCAATTGCTTGTCGCCAAGCTGGACCACTTGCTGGAAGGCGCCATCGACCTCGGCCATCTTGTACGTGTACTCGTGGTATTGGTCTGCAAGATACTGAGGGCACACAACGTGGCCTTCGTCAGCATCAGCTGCCGGCGGCGATGAGGGTGCCTCAGGCTCGGGCTCGCCAATGATGGCGGCCGAGCCTTCCTCACCATGAGGTGCACTTTCTTCTTCATGTTCTTCTGGCACGACCTCCTCATATGGCGATACATCCTCATCATCGATGGCATCGATGTCGAGCCATGCCGCTGGGTTTTCACCAGTTTCAACGCGATGGCTGAGTTCCTCAAGCGTCTGGAGCCGACCCTCATAGGTTTCTCGGTTGATGTCCAGCTCTGCAGCAATCTTCTCCTGCTCTTCCTCCATGACGTCAAGGCGTTGCTGGAGGATCTTTTCTGCCGTGGCGTCATTTGCGACGAAAATCTCCGAAAGGTCTGGATCATCTTCCTCCCCTTCGGGCTCATCATCGATGACGGCCATGTCTGCCTCGGTAATCGGCGCAGCACGGTTTGGCTGCTCCGCAGCGACGTCCTTCTTGGTAAGGGCGCGAGCGGTGAGCTCGGCTGCGGCGATTGCCCTTTTGTGGCGGACATCGGCAAGGTTTCGGAGTAGCTCTTCGTATCGCTGATGTGGAGGGAGGCGATCATCACGAAGCTCAAGTCCACCGAGCGGACGGTTCATCGGACTGGTGGCAGCTACTTCCAATGCGATATCTCCGAGAACGTAGAGTCTCATAAGCAGGTGGAATACACTCTGACAAAATGAGAACATATGATTTGCATTCTCGTCCGATTTTTCGCAATGCCATTGGTCACGCAAGTCCATGCGGATGTTGAGGACGTTGATGTTGACTAGGCGGAAGCGACACTTGCCGATCTGAGAACCATACACCTCATCCTGGAACCACTGACTCAGCCGGTTGAACCAGTCGCTGTAGGGTCCCTGCCGCGTGAAGCTGTAGGTCTCAGGATCGGGCGCGCTGATGAGAGCGGCCGAGTGCACACCGTATCGAAACATATCGGCGGCAAACCCGACCAGCTCTTCTTGCACCTTGTCCTGTAGCTCCATGTAGTGATCGCCGTCAGGATGATCGAAGGGCCATGAAGTCTGAGCTTCAATTCCTTTCTTGCCAATGAGCTCGTTGCCAGCCCATACCACGCCAACCAGCAGCATGCAGCCTGGGAACTGGCGCTTTAGGCTCCTCACGGCAATACGGGCTCGTTTCAGCAACAATGGCAACTCTGCACCCCAGAGGCATTCGTGATGAAAATGCTTGCAGTAAGTCGGACGATAGGCCTGGAAGTGATCGGCCAGATCGAACCTCTGGGGTTTGCGTTTCGAACCGCTAACCAAGCACAAGGTGGAATCAGAGATCAAGATGTGTACCGTTTGGTAGTCTTGGCTCGTGGGCACACCTGTGAAGGCGGCTAGATCATACCGTGAGGTCCGAATCAACGGGCCCAACTCCGGCTCTAGCCATCGGTTCTTCTCGACCAGGCCCGCCAGCACAGAATGTGCTGTGTGCTGGCCAAGGACGCCATTCAGCACCGCGTCCACATCCTCAGAATATCCGTCTTCGAGGTAGTAGCCGGAGGCCACAATCTGCCGAAA